CGAGCTCCACGGCGAGGAACCGGACGATGCGGTCGTAGACGACCAATGACCAGCCAAGCTCAGAGCTGTTCTCTGTTCGTTCACGATTCATGATCACATTCTTGATAACGTGATCGTTGTCGTCACCGCCGCCACCGTCGTGGAGGAAGCCGAGATGATTTAGCAAAAGCGACACTTAAACGTGGATAGGAGAGGCGTCATTATCGTCTGCCTGTGAATAAGAATGAGGACAAGAGAAGATGTGCGAGCCGTCGTCATCGCCGAAGGAATCTCGCACAAAAGAAGCCGGAGGAATATGGACGAGAAAGTCAGCCAGATAGGCCTGTCACATCACCCTTCCAGCCACGACGGTGTCCATGTCGCCATTGGTCTGATCTGAGGTCTCCTGTCGTCTCCTTGGTGTAATTCCATTAAACCCCAGGAAACCACCCGAAAGAAACCGGCCACACTCGGAGGGACGACGCAAAATCCATCCAACCGAAGCACGCCTGCTCGCAAGGAGAACAGTCAAAATGGGTTCTCGGCTTTCAGCGTTCACCGCAGTCGTCGCCGTTGCCGCTGTCGCCAACGTTATTTTTTCCAGTCATCGTTTGAGGGAGAAACGCTTCAAAAAGACGAAAAGGCGATGAAAGATCACTCGCCGCCGCGGCCGCCGACTACGACGACGAGAATCCAAGTGGAATTTGAAGATCAACCCATGACTCGGAGCGGAGAGCGTAGAAAAGAGAAAGATGGACCATTATCGTTGCGATTACGTCCACCTTGTGCGGCGAAAAGCTTTTTCACTGGAACGAACGAAAAAGTGACACCGAAGATTATGATGGAGGAGCGCTGAATGAAATCTACCTCTCGCTGCCGCCGACGTCGTTTGTAGATCAGACGAGGGCACAGTTTGTCCGAAGGAGTCAAGAGCCCTCTGGGGTCAACCTGAGAGCCTGAAATCAGGTGGCATACAGCAAGCTCCAGCCTGGGACCTGATTGACACGCATTCGCAGGAGAAGAAGCAGGAACCAAAGAAAACTCCGCAAGATCACGGAGAATTTAGAGTTTGATCGAGCTCCGAAGTCGTTCAGGGCTCTCTGCGGACGGCAGTGCGAGACTGTCGAGAATATCTCTCTGCGATTTGATTATTGGTCTCCTCATCCTGATTCCATATTCATCATTGACTTCTTAGTCAGCGTGGAAAACATCGGGGATCAGTTTTTCTATTCTTCCCGCGGTACTCGGTGAGCCCGTTTGTGCGACCAGACGAGACGCTTCAGGCAGTAAAGCTTTCAACTGCTCATTGGGCTGTGGATCCGTCATTATGCGAACGTCAGCCGCTTTCCCTCCGCCCTAGGTAAACGACGCGCATCAACCGACGATGATCATTCGTTTACGGCTTCGCGCCAGACAGAAGTGGTCCGAAAAGGCCCGGGCAGTGTTTTTTCGGTACGGAATAACCTGGATCGGGGATTGGCGGACAGATGCGGATCCGATTCGCGCCAGGCTAGTTTCTCTTGCGTCAACACATGAACCCTCAATCGTAATTCCCAAACTGTATTATGTGAAAGGAAGGTTCCGAAACACTTCGAGCAGAGAGCGACGAGACGACTAATAATCGATAAGACGATTGCGATGATTCGACAGAACGCATACGTCGCACTGCGATCATCTGAGCAGGAGCTGTCGGCAAAGGTGGAGGAATGCGAGGACGGGATGCGGAGGAAGTTTCGACCGAGATCAAAGAGAAAAAATGGACGCCTCGATCGGAGTGGAATGGGAAAGACGACCGACTGACTAGCTGCTGCCCATTCAGCTACTTACAATAGAACTCCGAAAACAAGTGAGCACTGTTTTGAGGCTTGAGCGTAGATACGCCCTCATCCTTGATATTTTGCCATCCCCTCAGTTCGAGCGGCCACTCGGCTGGCCGAATCGCTCCGAAATCTGACGGACCGACAGAGATGAATAAGTGACGTCGAGAGCTAACTTCAAAATCGCCGCTGAACCGATGAACAACAGTTTAGCGAAGACCACGATCAAGGCAACCGCAACGGCGACCGCTCGAGTCGACCATAATGGCGAATGCTTCTGATGCCCCAATGGCTGTCGTGAGTTGTTGCCCTACCGCATCCCGGGTAGGGGATCTCAATAATGGCTCACAATCAGTCAGTCACTTAGGAAAAATTCTATGGAGAGAGTGAAGGGAGTGAAGATTACATGGATCGGTGATTTCGAGCAGGACGTTCCAAACGAAACAACCGTCCGTCTCTCGACCAGTGAGTGTCATCGACTGGCACTCGACCGCTCTTCGATGAGCTCCGCGCACTGCCGTTGGGTACGTCAACAACCACAGCCCCTCGGTCGCGTCTTCACGCCTCTGTCTTACGTTCCGAAGGCTTTTGGCGCCGTAAACGGTGCGCTTTGAAGCGGAACCGCAACCGACTGAGTCATTGATACGACCGCTCCGATCATACGCCTCTCGTGTGTTCGTTTTACTCAAGCGGTCGCGATTTAGAGAAATCCGTTCGATTGTCCATTTGCCCATTTTGTCATCAAAATGAAAATCGGACGAAGGGGAGCCGTGTATCTCTCGCTGGCTTGTACGACGAGAAGTGATTTTCAAAATCAATAATCGAGTGCACGGCGAAAGATCTCAGTCGGTCGCATACGAAATGCCGCCTCTCTCGTGACGATGAGCGACAGCAACTTGGCGACGGGCCGGACCTGTGATCGTTCTGTTTTTCTCCTGCCGGTCAGTTGGTCGGCGCTACCGCTCCAGCTTCCGTTGTGAAGCGCTACACTTAATAAACAATAAATAAGCCCGGAATGAGCGATGTCTCTCCATTCGCTGATGATGCTCACTTCACGCTGTAATCTGTAATTGCGAAAGATCCTTTTCGATAGACTGACGTTCACAGACGACGCGAGAGGAGCTTGTTAGGACTTGGCCGAGCGTTCATCGTCGCTATTGATTTCGAGCGAGATAAATTTATCATGTCGTAATTGTACCGCCGGCTCTCTCGGGAAAATAGAAATAATGATTGTGGAAATACGTAAATAAGCAAGAGGACCGAGCTGATTCAGCTCTTTGTACAATAATTGCTCTCAGTCTGTGCACGGCTTTCAATTACCACGTGGCGCAGTGTGACTGACTGAGATTGACGGGCATATTATCCTGTACGGTAGTACATTTCTCTATTTCTAGCGAGAACACACTCATCAGAAGCCGGATATGCATACAGATCAGATCCGTGAGCGCCAATTTTCCCGAAATGATGATACGGAATGTCCGGGTAAAGGACGAGATCATCGTGTATCACCATGAGTATATGTCATCCCTGATGTTTCGATCGATTGAATCCTCGCTCGAAATTACTTTGAGAGAATTAGGGTTCAGATTTCCCCTCTCAGAATCCACCCATCTCTCGAGATGGTCGCGGAATATGGGACTTGCAAGATGACACCGAAAACGCTCCTCTCTTTCATGTGACTCTTGATTCCTTAATGGCCACGAAGAACATCCCAGGGCGGCATGAAAATAGTGCGAAGGAGAGAGCCGCAAGCTCACAACCTGCGATCTTTCAGCGTCGAGTTCCAAGATGTCAGTGATCCTCTTTCGTGTAGTCCCGACTGCGTGTGATGCCGTGCCATATTCCTGAACTCGGAATGGTTGTACCGGAAGGATTAGAGAAATTCTCGCCTATGCATGCTTGGAGAGGAAGCCTCTGATTGACTCTCGCCAACATGTGCGGCCGAAGCTCCCTCCGTATTGACGAGCTGCCGGGAAATTTATCTCGATGAGTCTTAGCGCAGACTCCTTATTTCTCGAAGGACCCACCCGGAGCTCATTATGACAGCAGCATTAGATCGGGCAGCTTATCACCGCAGGTACTTCGCTTAGATATACCGGCTCTTCGTCGCTGAGCTCGCCTTTCGCTGATAAGAAAGCTTTCGCCGTCCTCCCCGGACCCGCCCCTCAATCAATCTTTTCTCGCGTCTCATTATATGAGAAACAATGCGAGAAATAGGTGGTTCGTTCGGAGCAAAAAACACGGAGTACTTTACTCACTTCAATCTGGCACCACTACAACACCACCGACACCCGATTGGCAATTTGTCAGACTTGATGAACGGCTGCAGGCAGTTCTGATTGTACGTAGAACTTCTCCTTCGAGCAGAGAATAATGGCATTCCTCTCAGACGCCGCTCCGTAGCGTCCCGCGTCCGATTTTAAAAGTATGAAGTGGAAATTTTCCAAGGAGGATTTTCGTCTCTGCCAGCGCGAGCGAGACCGTGCAGACCCAACCACTCGCCTGTACGCGACCTCGTATCCGTGAGATTCTACCCTTCGGGAGGAGCGCACGTAAGCGCAAGAAGTAACTATCTGAATCTGAGCGTCATCCAGAGCACGCACTGACAGAACCTATCTCTCGTGATCCAGATTATTCTGATATACATATACATATTGTATATATATGTAGATATTTCTGCATAGCATCCGACTCATTGGGAGGAATCGGCTAATCGGGCACGGTGTCCAGCTCCTCTGCACTGGTCCGCCGTCGGTCTTGTCGATTGCCCGGTCGGGAATTCTCCCATATTCTCGCGCTCACATCCGAAGCGTTGTGGCTTTCCGATGTCAACACTGGCACCATATCCTCAGTTCCAGAGGAGTGTGGAGATTATCTGTTCCCATGCCGTTAGACTTCAACTTTCCGTCCCCTCGGTCACTCGATCAGGGTTGTCGGTATCGGGCCTCCCTGGCCTATCGAGTGAAATCGGAACAAGATAAGCTAGGCGATTCCGTTTGCTTATATAGGTACAGATAGTCATGAAAAATCGATCTTGCTTGCATATAAAGATTGTAGTGGGAGGGGGACGATTGTGATCGAAGTACTCGATACCGGGGGGACCTACTGAGAACGCATTGTCGACATTCCAACAAGTCAGGCGAAGAGAATGGAATATTCACTGATGGTATTATAGGGCTCAAGAAACTCTTTCGAATATCTCGCTCATCCTGTCCTTATTTATTGCTCGAAATGCTCAATCTCAAACGCTCTATAATTATAGCTCTCTAGTATGAACTTCCGGGGATAATCCAGCAAACTGATATGGAGCTTCATGACAGTCGGCGGCGAAATATATTATTGAAGTGATGCGGGGCAGAAGCTCGGGGAATAATGAGATCTCTATCAGGAGCTTCCCCGAATCCTCTGTCAGCTTGAGGCTCTGAAGTACACGGGTCCGTCCAACGAAGATGAATGATCATGAATGGTAAGAAAGTCGGAAATTTTCACTACCGGACCGAGGTCTGAATTCTCTGTTTACAAGATACGGACGGATGACCCCTCGCATTAGTCTGTACAAATCTTTGGTTGCAACTGCATCCCCCAGCCATCGGGGGTATCCTCTTCTTGTGTGTATATAAACGATCATTCCGGTAAATGAACTAAAACATAAATGCAAATCCCTGCGCGAACCCTCGACATGTGTTCGTCTCGGCTTGATCACTCAACGCATCGAGTTGGGTCCACACTCACCCCTCAAGATCGAGCCAGGTGAGAGTATCTGAGAATTTGATCGGGCATTCGTGCCACGTTGAGGCCTCGCTCTATGTACACTTCTAGGATTTCTAGGCAAAGTGGGGAAGATTCCTTGAGTCGACCCCAATTCAAGCTACTCGTGGATCTATTATAGATCCGCACTCTGAGGAGGGAGGCTCTCCATTGCCACAAAATGCGGCGCGTACTCCTGCTGGAACAGAGGTCGCTGAGAGGTTGAGGGTTGCGGAGCCCACCGATCGTTGAAAGGAGCTTCCAAATGGAATGCAGGAACTGGGAGATGACCGAATTCCGAGTAGCCGTATTCTGGCCGCGCTGTTCCGGTCGACGCTGGACGTCCATCTTGTACGATGATGGAGGTCGTCACCTATGGGGAATGGGAACTCTATATAGGATCGGGGCTTCTGGACTGCAGGGGAGCGATGGACCTGTTTACTCAAGGTCCGAATCAGTGAAGGATCGCGAGCTCCGGGAATGTCTGGATATCTAAACTCGGTCGATGAAGGAGTTGTTCCGAGACGCTCCATGCCTACCTTCCTCGGGAATTGCTGTCGTCCCGAAGCGACTTGCTGACTCTCACGCTGCTTTTTGCTCTTGTACCGTCGGTTCTGAAACCATATTTTCACTTGTGTGGAGCTGAGTTTTAGTGTTTGAGCCAGCAGTTCGCGTTCCTGCGCCGTGAGATATTTCTGATCCTTGAATCGTTGCTCGAGTTGATAGACTTGCGTTTGAGTGAACAGAATTCGTGGTTTCCTTTTCGTCTCTGAAAGAATCTTTCGATATTAGTGGAATAAGTAAGAATACCGATTTCAGATACAAGCTCGTGAGAGAGTCACCGAATATCGATAGTGATGTCCAAGCATCCCTGGCGGCAGGAGCTTACTTCTATGGTGCTGAGTTTCGTCTTCTACTTCTTCTTTGATAGACTGTCCGATGTTCTCATGAGCAGGTGGCTCGAGTCTCTCGAGGGGCATGTCATGCTGCGGTAAAGATTCCTCGGCAGGTATCGGCGGTGTGTGCCTGTCGCACGAGAGAGATGTCCTCAATATTCTCGCTCGTAATCCTTCAGAACATTCTCAGTGATCATTCCCACAAACCCCGAGAAACTTCGCCTCAATATCTACACATGATCAATAAAATTATATCTCCTCAGTGAATGACTCGATAGCTCAAGCTTATTCGCGGCCACGCCGGCCGGTTATTCCGCGCGAGACTGGAGAGTCTTACTTGTATTCCGATGCCGGCCATCCGAATTGCGGCTGTATCCAACTTTGCGGCGCCGTTTGACCCGGAGAATAGGAAGGCGGGAGGTAACAACTCTGGTACGATGGCAAAGGATGGGATGTTCCCATCAGAGAATCGGCTGGTTCCATTGAGTAAAGGAGATCTTTAACATTGAACGAAGAAGCTGGCGACGTGAACATGGCGTACCCTAAAGCGTAGAAAAGCTCCGTCAGCGAATGGCTATCTTTGAAGCACATCACGGTCTCTATACAAGCATCCGGCTGCTCTCTGCGGGCCGCTATCGTTGGGAGGGCTTCGGAATGCGCCTGGTGAATTCGATAATATATTTCACCGTAATCTCGTACCGGGAACACATCGTCGATTTTGAACAAAACGCGTTTGGCTGCAACTTTTGACCAGAAGAACTCAGGAGGCACCATGGCGGTACAACATCGAGCTTTGTCGTAACTGCTGCTGAAGTGCACCTGTAGTCGTTTCGAGTGACGCTCAAGTGAAAACTTGCAACTCAAGTGAGATGCGGGTCCAGGAGCGTTGAAAGGGAGTACGCAGACAAGCAGAAATCTCATTGAGGTCTCCAGTTCTCTGACTGAGTGGTGTTCTTTGCTCGAGATGGGCTCGTCAGCCCATTGAGAGGTGCTTGATTCCAGAAGTGTGCCCTCAGAGATTTCCACTTCACACGGTCACCCACTTCATTTAACTAAGGAAATCAACGCAACAAGAGCGATCGGTAACCTCGCAGAGAGCCGAACTGAGACGAGCGAGGTTCAGGTATTTCACAAACATTGGCACGATCGCACCAGTGTGCGCTTCGTCGCGAGTTCATAAGTACCTCAGGACGGCTGCGACTGGGTGCAGACGAGCATCGTTCTCCGGTACGTCGAAGTGGACGCAAACAGCTTCAGCAGGTACCGATGCTTACCGTTGGACACTTAACGACCTTACTTAGCTCTAATCTCAGGGGCTCTCCAAGAAAACTGATAGGCCTCATAGCAAGGAGAGGGGACGAGAGGAGAGCGTAGGGAACTGTTCCCGCCAAAATTTCCGTATCCCATCACGCCATGTGATCTACGCTGTTTCGATCCCATCGATTCAGGGAAATTGCGTTACAATCCGTCACTTTCCCCAGGCTCCAGCGATTAGTCGGAGGAGTTGATGTACTCGAGAATGATCTCCACCGTATCCGATGCTATCGGGTAGCGATGAAATGACATCAGATCAACTCCGCGGGAGATACGACCGGAGCCCTCGCACCTGTACGTGACGTTTCCTGGCTTCCGCGGTCCCGTCCCGCATCGTTAGGAAAGACACATCGGGCGGGAGCAGGGCGTCATCCTGACGTCTTGAGAACAATGCGCGACCCGCGACACCGCGTCCGGAGTCCGCGCCGAGTTCGCCGTGGAGAAGAAACTGATAATCAAGTCGAACGTGCAGACCCGAATAGTCACCGTCGTCGATCGTCATCCGAGGACAAGTCTTGACAAAGATCTAGATCGAGGATGCCGGGCGAAGAGACATCCCCAAGGAATTTATTTCGAGGGATGGCGGCCACGGTACTCGGGATGGGTCCTGCGAGTGCGACGCTTTCGAAACCTATCGATGCCTCTGCCCATGGTCCCTGCTCGCTGTAAGCTATGCTCCTGCAATGAGCAACTCACAAAGAATCATCGAGCCAGACAAGAAGAAGAAGAAGATCGTACTGTCTACCGGCCTGGCGGCCTCGGCAGCAACGGCAAATATACCCAGAATATTTCAGAACGGCTTTTGATCTTTCGAGTACCTCTTGAGACTTAACGAGAAACCTCTATCGCTATTCAACGCGCTCACCTAACGCCGCGCCGTGGAGCCAAAAGATCGATCTGTGCAGCTCGAAGAATGAAAGAGTTTTTCTTCGTCAACATATTGCGATTCCTACGTGGCCGACTGCGGACGTCGCCTCGAAGAAACCTCTGGAATATTTCTTTCTCAGCTATGTCTGTGCTTTCGGAGGAATAATCCCGACTAGGTAGGAAGCCGTCTCCAGGAATCCCAGCGCTCTTGTATAGAACGGCCGAGTGCTTGCTCAGAAATTATCCTGGAAATAATCTCGATTCCCCATCCGGATAGTGGACCTCGGAGACTCGCACGTAGAGCGGTTCTGATCCTCGCCTCAAAGGAGGACGCGATGAGGACGCGAAGAGCCTGCGGGGGCTACTGACTGAGTGAGATCAATTTCCCGACGAGATGTCTGAGGCAAGAGCTAATCCGATGAAAAGCAAACACTGCTCGACGAGGCGAGCGAACTTTGGCCCATCGCAATCGGCTTCAGAAGATAACACTATCTGGTCTCTACCCTGATCCCAAGCGTTCAATACCGGTAGCTTTCGTCGACTCCATAACGTGAGGTCCGATTCTTCCCGACGCTTCAATCCAGTTTACTGATATGCCGATCCGGTTCGTTCCAGGATCTAGGTCGAGCCAAGCGAGGGCAATAGCAGCTTCCGGGAGAGCCCCGAAGATTTTCTCAATGGGGACGGTCTCGTGATGGGAGCGGTGGAGGAGCTCCAATATGAACGTCAAGTCCCGCGACTCAGACACATTCTTCGCTCCTGAGCCGCCTCGAACAAGGATCGAGCCGTGAAGATCAGGTGAAGCTGTACGATCTCTCGGCAAATCATGGATCGACAATCAAGAGGCCGGCTCCGAGCTAATCGACGAGCCATGCTCATGGCGAGGAATACCGTGGAGAGGGGTGACTCCTTCGGTTCCCGCGCGAAGGACACCTGAGGGAGCTTCCCTCTTGACCCGCACCCGAGGGAACTTTCCTAATCATTTTCGTGAAAAAATCCCCCCGAGGAGCGGTTCATGTATATGGGCACGACGTTCATGTGTTTTGCTAAATGTTTTACAACTTTTGCGAGAATTTGCTCTGTTGAATCTCGTCCATGATATCGATCAGATTAGGAAGCTCTTTCGAACGCGTTCTAGAATCCGCTCCATATCGGATCGAAGGGTCGACTCGAGGTCTTTATCTTCGGAGTTGGAGCAAGTCACGTTGGCAACACGAGCGCCATGTTCCGCAAGACTCGACACTGCTCATTTGCTGGTCGCGACTCCCCACATCAAGCCACTTACTCCCTTCATCCGGACCCAATTATATTCAATGGCAACCTTGAGATCAGTCGCGCCAAGATCAATGCATGATCACGTGAGATAGACAATCTCAAACACATTTGTAGCTCTCGCTTCGAGAATCCTTTTCACTCCTTAATGAACGGCGATCAATCCTCAGAAGTGGCACTCATCGCATCCAAGATGCACTCTAGAAACAAACGAGCCTGAAGTACTTACGTCAATCAGGAGCGAGACCACCGGTGATGATGATGATGGTAGTGGTGAACAAGTTCTTTGAAGCGTAAACCAGCACTTTTGCCTCTCGAGAAAACTTAAGAGTGTCGTAGAATAATAATCCTCTGCTGCTGCTGCCGCCGCCGCCGACGCCACCTCCTCCTCTTCTCAGTGCAGCTGACCTCTTCCTTGAGGAGAAGAGGGAACTGTTGCGACCGGTGTCGACTAGTGCTCTCTAGTGGACGAAGTGCCACTTCAGTCAAGCATCGGAGTGGAAACTCTCTCTTGTATCACAACGACGTTTGTATCGCGTGGTCAATTTCGGTAACCTACACTGGAGCGTTCTCCATTCCGTTCTGGGGTGTCCGTCGTGTGCTCGCTGCTCTTGCTGTCGCTCGGAGCGGTGGAGAACGCGCTCGACCAACAGTCGCCGAAAAAGTGCCTTTTCACTCTTCCCCCGTTCCGTGCGGCGGCGGCAGAGTCCAATTTGTTTACAGAACACGAATACTCTGTTAGTCTCTGGTAATTCGTGTCTCTTCAGGATGCATCCCATTGCGGACACTTAGAGCTCAGAGCGTCTGACAGTGATCCCACCCACTTTGGATTGGCTTTCGAAACAGAGCCGATTCGTACGTGAGACGCTTCGTGTACCGAAGACCGCGCAGAACTTCGTCAGCAAATCTATCTATCTATCAGAAGTCCTCTGCAAACTCGAGGGCGATCTTTAGGCTATCAGTGCTCCGGAAGGGCAGAAGAGAGTCGAGTCAACAAGTCTATCTTCGTTTTCGTTTTCTCTGATGGGACCCCCAATGTCGATCGTGATAGAACGATAGCGATCTGTAGGCTTATTGTCCGGAGACAGACCTTGGCTTCGATCTCTCTCAAAGATCATGAGCACCAAATCCCAATCGGACTCGGAAATGTCTCCACCAGTCTCAGCGGCCCGTAGATAAGATCCGCAGGGTCCGAGGATACGCTCTCTGAGATAGGAGCCCCGTATCCTTCCGAATATCCGGTTCCGGAACTCGTGATTCCATGTCCACCGACGATTCGACTCGGAATCCATACCGTCAAAAGGACTTAATTAAATAAGAGCATTCGGAGTTTTCTGAGGGATTCTGAACGATGATCGAGGCGGGAGCGGGAGCACCGGAGGAAAATTTAGCTACAGCTCTTCCTCGATTTTGGATCGGGGAAACATACCAATCTGATCACTTATCAGCAGCGAGGAAACTGATTAACAGTCAAGGTCGAATTAATCTTCTAGTGCTTGTGCATTCACAAATGGGATATCTCAGAGAGTTCAGCCTCCCCAAACTATAATCTCTCGATGAATAATATCGTCCTTCAGGCTTCAGGAAGGTATCACTCGGGGAGGCTTCACCGTGTTTGAATTTCTCAAGACCAGCATTATGGTAGCTAGGATCAACCCGGGTAGACACATATTTGTTCGATCCCGAGGAGTTTCTAGCCCCAAACACGCGAGTGAATGCCAGGTAAATGATGTTTGTGTCCATGTGTGCTTATTTGCTCAAGCACTTGGGCAGCCCGAACCTCTTCAGATGTAAACGGCTTGCTTGCGTCGATCTCGGCTCAAGGATCCATGAACCCTAAAAATACTCTCAGCTTTTCTGAGAGAGGCTCCGACTCATTCACAGAAAGGATTCCTGATCGATGCCGAACCTCGGACTCACCGATGCGATGAATTTGCTCCTGGGCCGCTGGTGAGTTCTGTTCCACGAGTCGATTACCACACCACTCCGATGGAGATCCTGCGCCTCACGGTATCTGCTCCCTATGAGTGATCACGTGAAGTCCGGAGCTTGCTCCGACTCTGCTAGGGGCTTTCGCGGCAAGGCGGTTCGAACTCTCCCAGCCAGTTCCCAAGCTGTTTTGGTCGAAGTTTGAGGTTCCAGAGAGGTTTCGAACTCGGCCGCCATATAGGCTGCGACATTTATGGCAGCTGCCATAACTTTAGCCCACCTCCCTGTTGCTATCAGGAAAGCAAGAGATAAGGTTGTTTGAATATTCGGCTAACATTTTCATTAGATCGTGTTTATTCTGCTTCACCTATAAAATGCTTTATCATGCTGTGTCATCCCTCGGCAAATATTCGCTTTTGCTGCGTATAGCGCTCACAATGCTCCTGATCTCCTGGATTCGAGAATCAGACGGAACTTCGCCTTATTCGAGTCCAACGAAATCAGAGAAGCTCCCGATATCGTTCCCAGAGACTTTCTGCGAGTCTGGACGGCGGCGGTGGAGATCTGTCCGAGTGTGTCATTTCTGAGTTTTCTTGACAAGTTGTTTACGGTGCCGACAGCTACCAGGCCCTGTTAGTGGGATAGCTTGTCAGAGTGATGAGTTCCTGGAGTTTCGTCATTTTTTGACAAGGGTCTCGGTCCACCGGGGCTCGAATGGATTCCTCGGAACCCACTCATTAGGACCGCTGGCTCCGTAGCTCGCTCGAAGCGTGATTTAATTATGTGCTTAATTTCAGTTGGTCGAGGGGAAGATGAGAGTGTCGGCACCGATTCATTCGCATCCGCCTCGGAATCTCGGATTCTCAATCGACTCCCTTGCTTCTGAAGCTAGGCGTTTTCCATCCTACGGCTCAGGTCATTACGATCAGTCCGTCAAGTCGGAGACGACAGCGCATCATCAAGGTAGAATCATCACCATCGCAGGGGCTCTCCTGGCACGCGGCCGAGTCTTCCCACGGGGGCTCGCGGGTCCTGCTCGCCGGCGGCACACCAGTTGTCTTTTCCCTCGAGAGCATATCGACCCGCCTCGCCTGTGGACCAGGACATCAAAGTGGCATCTGCGGAGTTGTGTCCGCTACCAATTATTGCAGTGAAAAGAGGATAGATGAGAATTTTCAGATCCTGCTCGGTGACCTGACTCAAAGCACACTCTTCAGTCTTGCTCCTCCCGATCCCGCCGCAATCTATCGCTAGTCCATGATCCGAGAAGCCCACAGCGGCATTTGCCCCGAGCCGTGGAGCCCACAGACGGAGGCCGGCCCTCGATTCCTCGGTGGCCAGTGTGATGGGAACAAGTAAGCGAGCGTTGAATCCGTGGGCGATATCGTGATAGAAGGTCTGCAAATCTGAGGCGGGAGGGGACATGATCATTCAGATAAATTAAATGAAGATTCATTGAGTAGCGAGGAGTTGCTGCGATTTCATTCGGACGCGGATTCGTTTCCTGAACCCTGCAAGACTCTCCCCGTGAGTTCTATCGGCATCGAGAGATGCGCGGCTTTCGCGTCCATAACCCTGTCGGTCGAGAGCTTCATCAAGGCTCTCAACGCTTTACGAATCGCCAAAAGTTTCAAGAGATCAAAGGTTGCTGTTTTTCGCTGCTGGTTGAACTAACTCAATGATGGAAACGCTCAACGAGAAGAACCAAGGCAGAGGAATGTCACGCAGAGTGGCCAAGGTTGAAAATCGACTCGGTGGAGCCACGCTGAACGTGGACGCACGGACCGGCTCGGCTCCGTCAGCTTGATGGACTCACTAAGTTACTGACCAAGTGTCGGAGGTGGTGCCTCTCGACGCTCCCTTACTCTCTCCCCCTCTCCTGGAGGGCTCTTCTTCTTCTTCCATAATTCTTCCTCTTGAGCTCCGATAGAATGCACCCACTAACACGCGACAGCCAACCCGCCATAAATTGTCTATGCCGATTTAACCTGTCGTGCGATCGATGTCATCACACAAATTACAGTGAAGTTGTCAGTCGGGAACGAGCGCTCTATATTTAGAAATCGTTCCATAAATACCGTCGACCCGGAAAACTCCCACCAAGTCACGTTCCGTATGGAACGCCGATTGTTTTCGATCCGGGGTATCGTGTGCTATCATAGCACTGATTGTCACCACGATAGGACGCGCGACGTGTGCGAATACGCTCGAACTCATTTCGTATAGTGATCGATCCCTAGCTATGCATGCAGCATGCGATGGAGTGAATCTAAACATTCAGTGTCTGGATTCGTAAGTGGAGGGAATTTTGAGATGCGTCGAACTTTTTTCCTCATATCCCCACGTTGGTGTTTCGTTTGTAAACACTTCGATGATCAGGGCGATTCGAGAGTTTCGACTGCGCGCTCGCTCAGACTGCTTTATTGACTCTTTTGACACATACGGGATGTTCTTCATAAACACAATCAGCGTCATTTCGGATCTAAACGGAGCTTTGCCCGGAGAAGAAACGAAATTCCTATGCTCCTTTGTACCTCCAGGCTCGCGCGTTCCTGGCACCAGAAGAACTCATCGAACAAGACGCCTGTACGAAACCGACGCGACGTCAGCCCGCATGCGGACCTCAGACTGCTCTTACCGGTAGTGGGCCTCAAGGAGATCCTTTCTCCTTCCAGAGAGGAACTCTGAGACTCGGCAGACGAAGCAGAAATCCTGGAGTGGTCGAGACTACTGAGATCTCCCGCAATAGAGTCGGGGAATTCCAACATTCTTCGGAGCTGTATATCCGGCAAGGAGCGAAGGAGCGAATCGCGGGTCTGATAGGAGCCGGGGCCAAGTCTGGCAGTGGTCATCATCCAGAACCAAGAATATCACTGTAGGAAGTGGCAGAACCAGTGCGTCGTCTTCCAGTATCCGCTTCATATGAATCGACCGCGTGTGTGCGCGGTTTTCGATAAGGGCAGAATCATGGCAGCTGCGAGAAAGTAGCTCATCCGAAGATCCAAGGAGAGTCGCAGAGGTCGTCTCCCGCGGACAAAAGGACCACAATGGGATCTCGGATGTGTGGTGGGATCTCGTCCGAGCCCATCATCCGCATCGAAATCCTGAGCCGACCGAGATGTTCCGAGACAAGGATCGAATTAAAACCTTGGCAAGGCCTTCGTTTCCGCGAGAGTCATCTCAGTGATCCCTTCGCGCGATCGAAGCTGCTCGAGATGTGGCGATCGCGCCCTCCGCACCCCACAAACTAAATGTGGACTCAGTCGATCAGTTGAACGGAGCTTCATGTCACAACGATCACTGATAAATGATCATATGATTATTATCCCCCCGACTGTGCGAGGCCTGTGAGCTCCGCTCGAATCTGGCGCCTTCCTAGGGGAAAGGGTACCACGTGCGCGATGTAAACAACATCAACTCGAACGCATGCCGTAGTTATGTTATGAGAGAATGTTCAGCTCACTGGGAAGAACTCTAATTAAGCTGATATAGAATCGGCTCAAGGAATGGTCTTAGATTCGTAGAGGTTTTCGTGCTTCTTGAGGAAGTCTCATAATGGGACGAGAAGAATTACGCTTCAAGGTTTGTGGAAGTTGCATTTGGAGGATCTCCTTTATGGCTTGCATCTCAATTTTCTATGGTCAGTGATAACTCCCGAACACCCGGCATTGTAAGCCGGAATGAGATGTCTTTGACACGAATAAATATCGCCAATTTGAACTCGGGCCGATTTTTCCGCAGTCCTTCTCGGAACGTGTTGCTGCGATCAGTGTAGATGTCATTCACCGCATCAACCGCAATGCGTCTGATGGAACGCATGCAGAGACTCACTTCAGGGAAACGCTCGACAAATGGCTCGAGCTAAACTGCACTCAAGAGTTCACTCAGCTTGTCGATCTGGTCGGCCCAGATGTCGACACTCTCCCCCAACTGGTCCTCGCCAAAAAGGGTGAAGCTCTTATGTTAGAATAGGTGTATATTTCCCAGAAATAGAATGGGTTTTAGACTTCATGTCAATATCATGCGTCTCTCTCAGGCATTTCCAAGCTACTGCAACGTCAGCTTTCTGAGAGGGGTTCCGCGTGCCTGGAGCCAAACCTCGAACTGGTTGTGGCCCTTGCCCGAGACCTTCAGGCAGATTTCTATCCTGAGTTCGCGACCTTCTTCGAGATCATCACGAGCACCCACCTCCAAGACCGGGATGCGGAGATTATTGAACAAGTCTTCACCTGCTTGGCGTACCTCTTCAAATTCCAATGGCGGTGAGGGGCATTCGCGAACTTTTCTGCCTTTGATTAATATCCTCGGCAACGCTTGCGAGACCGCTGAGTGAGATCGATCGAAACGTGTCAATCTTGATATTTCCCCAGGTTCATGGTCCCTGACATCGAGCGAGTGTTCGTCCTGTACGAACCTCTGCTCTCGGAGAACCGCAAGGATTACATGAAAGCGTTTGCAGCTGAGAGCTTTGCGTTCTTGATGAGGAAAGTTCCGAAAAAAGCCGCTCTCCTCGATCTTGTTTTCAGCCGAGCCGAGGAAGATGAAGGTCTGGCCAGGGGCTTTGGCGTTCTCCTCTTCGAAATGATCAAAGGTAAACTCACCGCCCACGAGGAGCTTCCTCAAGTCGATTCCGTCCTAGAGCAAAACAGTGCATGTACCGAGAATCGATCTACGGGGTATCGAACAAAATACTCATTCGAATCGGTTGTGATGCAGGAGTCAAGACTCGTCTCCACTCGTGCTCGGAGGAAGTTTTCCCGCTTATCATCCAGAGAATCGCTCAAAAAGGCGAATCATCAGAAACAAGACTGACGATCGTGAGGACCCTACTAGAGCTCCTGTGCAACCACGTTACCACTGAAAACATAGGCTTCGTATGGAACACACTTCAGGTGAGTTCACGTCCCTCACAATTTTCTCTGTTTCCGAGGTCCTCGAGCTCGGTCGACCGAAGGAAAGCCTCTAGAATCCCTTTCATTCATCGCTCAACGGGAATCGAAATTGCGTTGCAGGAGGCCTTGCTATCGTCTGAGAAGCTCTCTGCGAGTCATTTCGCCGCGTTGTGTCAGTGCTTCAGAGAGATGGTTGCGTCCAAGAATGGGAAACTCATCATCGATCCTGATGCGGTCTGCGCAACAATTGAGAAGGCATTCAGCTGCTGTCCTGAGGAAGCGTTCGCGCATTTCTTGGATACAGTTGCTCTTGTTGTAAGTGAACACGATCACTCGGGACACGGATCGAGGAGTTGCCAAGTGTCGTGAGCATGAATAATGGCCAGCGCCTCTATCCCTTCCAGTTGTTCACCTGTGAAAGTCGAAATTCTTCAGAGAAATCACTGAGTTCCGTGGTAGATGCGTTTGTGGACTCTACACAAGCAGCCCCGGAGGAAGCTCTGATCGATATGCTCGAGAAAACTTCAAAGCTCTCTTGTTTCGAGAAGGTTCGTCAATCTATCCCCGATGCGCTCCGAAGCTGAACGGACGCGCGGACTGAACCAGGATTGATCCGCCTGGTCTCCGAATTTCAACGTTCCCTCTATTTTCAGTACATGATCCCAAAATTCTGGAGTTACTGCGAGAAACTGGATTCGACGATCGCACTGCATCTGCTGACAAAACTGGAAGAGTTAGCAGCAACGAAAATCCTTTGCGGTTCCGATGTGAAGCCATGGAAGCACCTACACAACCTGCATTTCGATCCAAAGTCTCATCTGGTTTCCGTTATCGTAGATGGACTAAGGCTCAGGGAGCCGAAAATGGGAGATAGAGGCGCTCTTGAGCGGTTCTGGGAATCTTGCGTCTTGATCCGCCACCTGAGAGGAAATCTCCTGTCGGAGAATGCAGGGTTCCTGCTCGAGAGAGCTCTGAAGTGTCTTTTGACAGTCAAGGTAGAGAACGTTTGCGAGCTCCACCTGGTTTGCGTCCAAGAATGTGTTCGTTCCCTCGTGTCCTTCAAGAAGAAAGTCGATCCCGCTGGTCTCATAGCGCTATTGAAGAGCTTCAAGAAGCCCTCCGTCCTGAGATCAATGGATCTGGCACTGCACAGCATCGGGAAGACGGAGAAGCAAGCATTCAGAGAAGAGCTCCTCGAGGAACTCTGGTGGCAGCTGGCTTCGCCCCACGCTATCGTCAGATTCTTGACACTGAGAATCTTGTCACAGTTCGAAGCCCCCGAGGAGAAGGTTCCGAAGGGCAAGATGTCGGTTTGCCGCTATATGTTGGCCTTGGAGAGCGTTGCTGTGACCGTGCAGGAGTTCAAGAACCGAACGAACCTCATGGAGAAATTGAGATTCGAAACAGTGTTGAAGTGCTCGGTCGATGCTGGAATGTCCCGTTGCTCATTGGCATTCCTTTTCGGTCAGTTGTACATCAACTTCAGCCAGCTCTGGCCGACAGTGAAGGAACTGATCGCTTCCTATGTCGATTACGAGCTGTTCTGGCAAATCTTCGATCGACACCTCGGAGAGACTACTAACATCGTCCTTAGCGGTATCAGAGGCGACAACGACACCGTCAACGAGTCCTTCGACAACCCAGTCCTCAGGGAAATCGTGAACGTCAGGGAGACCTTCGAAAACACAGATTACGAGCTGCATAGAGTATTCCTCTGGAATGTGATCGAACTCCTAGAGAACTCAGCTGTTTTGAGCGAGGTACCCCGCCGACATTTCCTCGAATTCTACGAAAGAGAATTCAGACCGAGATCGGAATTCATCGCGAGCGAAAATGTTCTTCTCAACGTCGAACCCGAAGATGAATCCATGGAAGTCGATGGAGAACCTCAGAAACCATCCAACGTTGTAAAAATTGATCTGGAGGGAGCAATCATCATCGACGAGGACACCGACGAAGAAACCGATCTCGGACGAGACGACAGCCTCAGCGTCAGTGGAGAAGTTCATGCGAAGAAGCGCCGCCGCTCGAAATACGGCGTTGCGGCTGGTCAAGGGAAATTGAAACTCGGTTTGACGAGAAACCCCATAAAGTGTCTGCAAGCGGCTCTCAGCGCTTTGTTGAAGTCCGATTTGAAGAAAATTGAGAATCGTAACGATATCGAAGCTTGTTTCATGGACCTTCTGATGCTCCCCGACGCCTCGATCCAGAAATTGGCCGTGGAATGTCTCTGCGCTTGCGGTGAGTTACCAATGTGCCTCACGAGATTGCTCACGGCGGGAGTAATTATTGGGGGTTATACCCGGAGAAGCTTGCGTACATTTCCACGAATTCAGTCTTCTCAAGCTTTAGGGGTCTGATGATTGATAATAAGGTGTCTGATGAGGAAAAACAAAATATCTGCAGGAAAGAAGATTGTTTCGAGTCACAAGGAGAATCTCGTGAAGCTCCTCGACGACAAAGAGTGGATGGGCGTTTTAAACGACTGTTTCCTCGCGCATCGACCGACGGACGAGGGTGATCAAGTCGATACGACGCAATCGCGAGCCAAAAAGCTCAAGAACACACAGACATCACTGTCGGATAAGGAGCGGAAAAAGGTTCGCTGAACTCCACTCGCGAGCGATGCATCGAAGGTCTCAATGACTAGATTGGTTGAAAACTCTCGGGAAGAACGTCATGTGGAACTACCTCCTCTCAACATGGTTCTCTATTCTAGATTTTGCCCTTCGTCATGAGACTTCTCTTCGGCCGAATGCTAACCAAGAAAACTGGCCATCGCTCGAAATCTCGGACCGCGACTAAGCATGAAGCCGTCTTACGCTTTCTGGCGAGCTCCCAACAGTCTGATCTCCTTTACTTCATCGAACTTATCATTCTACCGCTAAAAAAGTTCCTGACAATCGAACTCGGTAGCAATTCCACTTCTGAGGTTCTCGAGACGTTGGCCTTCGATCCGGAGAGGGCAATGCCCGTGCGTCGCCTGAAACAGTGAGTTCCGTTTTATCTTCAGTCAAATGCGATTATGGGGGCGCGAGCCGTGTGGATCGGATCCTTGAAATCAATCGGAGCTGATTATCCCTGGTACTTGCAGAGTATTGTTTAATATCCGAAACGTCATCAAGCACATGGCTGGAGTTCTCCCAGATTTCCTGCCCCTGCTGCTCAGAGCCGTCCTGGTCATCCTGCGCTACACCAATCTCGCGGGCGACAGAGCCGCCGAGGTTCATATGATCTACTTGCAGTCCATGAAACGTATCCGACTCCTCTGCGTCGACATCTTGCTGATCTATTTCAACGACCTCGACCACTACGCAATGGATATCATGGACGTACACGCGTTCTTCGACGCCTATGTCTGGCGCGCGCTCCAGGAACACGGACGGAACCCAACGGACGCCGCGGCTCGAGTCTATCGTTTGGTTTCTTGCTTCGCGTCGAAGGAGCGTCTCCAATTTCTGCTCGCTCTCAGGAACCGGAACGACATAACGCGAACGATCATGTCTGATCTCATGTTCATATTGCAATTGACGAACACCACGGAGAAGGTGGTCAAGCAGATAAAGAACGTGGTTCGGCTCCTGTTGAGCGACGTCGGGTCCGAAAGCGGGGCGGCGCTCATCGCCCATGACCCCGACGACGTGGAGCTGTCGGACATTTCAGAGGCCTCACTAGGATTCCGGGTGGTGCTACCGTACACGTTCATCTTGCTCTCGAAGCCTTTCTCTCAGATCGAGCAGTCGAAGAAACCCCTCGATCCCCTCGATCGCTTCATACTCTACAAACTCAGCCAGTACAACGAGGACCGTACGTTGGCAAGCCACATGCTTGCTGTCATCGTCCCCAGCTTCTTCAAGGAGAGGAAACTCAGTAAACAAGGCGAAGATCGATCTCAATTCGAGACCTTGACCATCATAAAACACGTTGCCGCAAGGGCGGACTCCCTTGAGAAAGTCTATCCGTCGTTGTGCCGCCTCTGGAGCTCTGTCACCGACAGAAGCGGGAGGAATGTTCTCGTGGAGATCTTCGAAACTCTCTCGACGAGGATCCCTGAAGTAAACTCGAGTATTTGCGAAATCTTGAAGGATGTCAATTCGTGGGATCCTCGATTGGCAGAAGAACCTGATTACCTTCGTCGCATAAGAGGCTTCAGAGAATTGGTCGCTTTGATCGAAACGATGAAAACTCCAGCCGTGAATTCCGCGCTACCGCTGATCCATAATTGTCTCTACAATTCGATGACCAGCGATGATTTGTCTTTGAGAGATGCGGCGACGTACGCTCTCACGAAGATCATCACCTTCTGTCACGACCTCCTCGACGAGGGTCATGAATCGTTCTTCCAAACGTGCGTGGAACAGGAAATTTACGCTGGGCTCCGGAAGGGCCTTCGGAGCTCTAGAGAGACCACGCGCCACGAAAGCGTGAAGCTCTTGTCGCATATTTTGACGACTTGCAAAGATCGTAAAATGTTCGAGGAGTTGAAGAGTTTCCAGGACACAGAGAAAGAGAAGGACTTCTTCGAATGCATCATCCACGTTCAGGTAATTGTTCCTCCACATTATCCAAAGACATAGCAGCTGATCCGGCCCGGCAGCGGTCGAACCGTACAAGTCCTCACCCTCGATGGAAATTCGATGATTTTCAGATCCATCGTCGGGCTCGAGCTCTGAATCGACTCTCCCAAGTCCTGGCCAAGAGAACCGTATCCCAGCGAGTGATTCAAGACGTTTTCCTGCCTCTGACAGAATCATTCGTGCTGAAAGACGAATACTCGAAACAGAACATCGCTGAAGCCGCCATTGGAAATCTCGGGGTCTTGGCGAAAAAGCTGCCCTGGAAAAGCTACGCCCGACTCCTGGAAAAATATATCGTGTTCTTGGGAAACAAAGATCTCTGCGCCGTGAAATCCAGTCAAAAACTGGTTGTGAGAATCGTGGTCACTTTATTAGACGCCTTCCATTTCGATTTGAGTCAAACGATCACAATCTTCGAGGAGAACATGACGGCGATGTCATACGGCAAGATGAGTCTCGAGGATAAAATCGCCCTGCCGACTCCCGATGTCCCCATATCGCTCGAAAATGAAGTTGACCTCGAGGCCGAAGGCGAGGAACAGCTCAAAACGTTGCCGCTCGAGGAGGCGTCGGATCTTCCCCCGGACGGGACGGTCACGGTTGTGGACGTCAAGGTGGGGAAGGATATTCTCGTCACCCTGAAAGATCTCTTGCTCACACGACTTCAAACAGCCATCGTTCGAAAGGTGTGTGTTCATTGTCATCGCGAGCAATGACGCGATATATTCATTTGGAAAGAGAAATGAAGATTGATCATGAAGGGAAGACATCCCGTCCATCCTCCTCGTGGGGAACGCGGGTCCGTCGGCGCCAACCCCGAATCCAGGGAAAAGATAAGGCCCTGACAGAATGACCGACCCCGTTCTACTTCGCAGAGCTACTACTCTCAAGACGAAGAGGACGACAACGAGGAAAATGATGTCTTGCGAGTTCCGATCGCGGTCGCCATAGTCAAGCTCCTCAGTCTTCTACCGAGCAAAATATTCCTCCGAAAGAACCTCCCATCTGTCCTGCTTAAAGTGATCGTATTCTTGAAGTCCAGACTTCTGCCGGTGAGAGAGACCGCGCGGGCCGCTCTGGTGAAAATTATCCAGATCTTGGGACCATGGTGAGTTCGCATGAAATTCTTGCTCGCCATGTCAAGTTTCTTCCACCCCTCGTTTTTCACCTTTCGGCATCTCATTTACGGGAAGTTTCCGGATGTTATTGGCCTGAATCGGAGGATATCCGCCTGATATGATCGTTATTCCAGTTACCTGAAATACATGATCCGAGAAATGCGTTCGCTTCTGACGCGGGGCTTCCAATTGCACGTCCTGTCGTTCTCAGTCCATGCGGTCCTGGAGGCCGCGCGTCCCCAAATGCAAACCGGTGACCTGGAGGAATGCGTCGATGACCTCTTGGAGATCTGCATGCAGGAACAGTTCGGCATCATCGCCGATGAGAAAGATATCACCGGGATCACAGTCAAAACAGATGAAGCCAAGAAGTCTAAGTCGATAGAGATGTTCCGCATACTGGCGGCAGTGGTTTCAGACGAGCAGCTCCAGACAGTCCTTGACACGATCGAGAACAAACTAATGACTAGCAATAATGCTAGAACGCTGGCCAAGTGCGAAAAGATTCTCGAGGAGATCGGTCAGGGAATCGAACGCAACGAAGGCCTGAGCAAAGCTCGGATCCTCATCTTCTGCTACAAGCTTCTGAAAGAGAACGCGGCTCGACTTCTCGTGACTGACCCGGTTCTTGCGAAAGAGATCGGCGCAGAGGCCGAGCAGAAGAACGGGCAGAACGTGAAGAATGAACCCCCTATAGAAAAGTAAGAAGTCGGCATTGTAACTCCGATTATCGTACATACTATTAAAACTCCCCATGTCGATCATTTCAGTACGGAAGTTTCATTTGCAGGCCAGATGTCTTCCTGGTTCCGAAGGCTCCGGCTCGAGGCGCGTCCATCGCCCTCGTCTCGACCAAAGCTAACGTACACGTGCTCATATGCACTGCCTTGAAGGTATTGCGGGATCTTTTGCGCAAGCATCGAGGTGCTGAGATGAACAAGTGAGCGACGACACCGAACTCCATTCGGAACACATTTATCAACCCCTTCAGTCCCCTTGAAGGGTGCATCGATCGCCTTATCCTAGTCAGCGCAGCTCAGATTCTCATGCTTTCAGACTGCTCGGCATGTTGAACCCTTTCGTCGAAGCCTTGTGTAGTCTACAGCGCTGCTCCTACGTCAATGTGGTTACTGAAGTCATGGTAGTCATACAACAGCTGCTCCACTATCCGTTGCCAGCTTTCGGAGAAAATCTCCCCGTGATTGTGAAAAGTTCCATGGGCATTATCCATAAATACCTCGGGACGACTCAGAAGGCTGGCGTGAATTATCAAATGCTCATCGCCGCATTTAAGGTATACTTGATCCCATGCTCCCTCACATCATGGGAAACCCATGAGGAAAAGTAGGAAAAATATCCATGAAGTAAAAAAAGAGAAGGAAACCTCGCCTTTCCGACGTGCCTCACCGACAGCGCTTTGTGACTTTGACTTTTCTCCGCAGACTGTTCGCTGTATCCTGGAAGAACAGAAGGATGCGCATTTTACTGAAGAGCAATACAAAATGCTTCTGACCTACGTCGAGTCAGACATCTGTGATGTAGAACGACAAGTCGTAGCTTTTGCTCTACTTGGAACGATTATCGGAAAGGGAGTGAACTTGCCCGAGCTCCACAAGTTAATGAAAAAAGGTCAGCATCCATGATTATCGATCTTCGTTACCTAACTCTTTCGGAGAGAATATATGTAAGTCAAGGGAATTTTTCTCTCGCCGCAGTGGCTGACATGTCGATCCAGGAGCCGGTGGCCGTGATTCGCAATCAAGCTCGCACAATTTACCAGAAGTATCTTTTTGATTATCCGATCGAGCCGAAGCTGCGCGAGAAATGCGTTTCCTTCTATTTGGGACAACTTGAGTACGCTGTCGAAGATGGTAGACGGAGCGCCGCAGAGATGGTTTACCAAATCATCAAGCAGTATCCTGAGGTGGGTCCTCTCGCTATCAATAAGTCTTGTCGAAAGGCTAGAGTCATGACGACCATCGGAGTGCTTCATTTGCGCATTGGAAGTACCCCCACGAATCCCTACGATCTGCTTCCAGTCAATCCTCATCAGACAGAATCTCTTGTTTTTCGTACCCCTGGCGATGAGCCTGGTGAACGACAGCTCCGAAATAATGAAGAAAATGACCTACGGATGCTTTAAGTGTCTATTGACCAAGCTCGATGAAAACACTCGTACATCGCTTTATTCCTTGACGAAGAAGTGGATCCAGGATGTTTCAAAAATGCAAAAACAGTGTCTAGGTGCTCAGGTCGTGGGCTGCTTTGCGGAGGTGGAGAAAGAGAGCTTCGAGTTCCGAGCAGACGATTGCCTCAAGTTAATTATCAACCACCTCAAAGCGGAAGACGATGGAGAAGAGGTGAGTAAGCTCTTCGAATCGCAGTTCCCATAGTCCCCGCTCTTCACCGACCTCTCACAGCTATCAGGAACAAGATCGATCTCGTTCACAGATGGATATTGACCAGAAAGACGAACGTCTTCGGGACCGTATGATCTACTTCCTACTCAACAGCACAGTGAAAATTTTGACTCATGTCAATATCATCGTTTCACCGGTCCATTCTGATTCAATAGCCAAGCTCTTGGATTATTGCAAGAGCTTCCTGCTCCATCCGCATGCCTGGGTTCGAACATCTTCCGCCCAAATCTTCGGGCTGCTTTTTGCTCAGTATGAGCCGAAAGTCATCGCTGAAACTCTGGGAGAGGACACTAGTTGGCTGACGCGAGGAGGTCGAGAAGTCCTGGATGAGCTCATATTACATTTTCTGGACCAATTCCAAAGTCGTCAAGCTCCTCTAGACCTGTTGAATCAATTGACCAAGAACCTGCTCTTCGTCGCCAAGGTGAGTCTCCTCGATGTTCGAAAGGAGCCGATCACTTATGATGTAGCCAGTCGTGCCGGACAATCTATTGTGACGGAATATTGACGCGGCTCTGGCTCCCAATGCGAGTCGTCATAATCTCCCCGTGCACTCCCCCAAGACCGATCCTTCTTCCGGGTTCCTGGAATTGGGTTATGAGGAGGGTTTTATGGACTCCACGTGAACTCGCGTTGCTCGTCAGGAGAGTCTCTTGCCCTCTCGAAATTCTATTAGGAGCCTTGATGGTGGAATAATTACAGGTCTTGCTATACTTGGATGGGGTCGAAGAATCGGGGAGCGTCGCCGATGCTTCAGACTACAACGAGAGTCAGTCGAGGCATCGGTCGTTCCAGTGGTTCATGTATAAAATCGAGAAAGAGCTCAAGAGCTTGGGTAGCGAAAGGACACCGAATCTAGAGAAGGTACGTGAGCTTTCTCGCCGTGAGGGAGTTGTCGAATCCGTGGGGATCGTCTGCATGGCTCTCCTCGGATTACTGACGGAATTCCATTTGCAGCGGACCTGTCTATATAAACTGCTGGCTGCGCTAGCTTTGGAATGCCCCCGACAAGTTCTTCAGAGGTTCTATCAGAATTTCCTCGGACCGGTGGTCAGGGATCTCGAGGCTAGCAGTGGCGATAAAGGTGACTTTCGAATGCAGGAATTGGACTGGCGTATTTTGAAATATGGGTGGATATGTCCCGGATCGATGATGGAACTATGCGGTTTTCCAGATGCAACTTTCACTCAACTTGTCAAGGAGGTTTCGCATATTCTGCGTAAACAGATGGGCTACGACTTCTATCAAGAGAAGTACGCGAGTCAGCTGACAGATCGAGCTCGCTTGAAGGCAAGGATGAAACAGCGTAGGGCCGTGGATCGGATGTTGGATCCCGAAATGGACCTCGAACGCCGCGAGAAGCGTCGCAAAGCTGAAAAAGCCAACAAAAAACTGAAATGGCGCGGGAATTTCCCTGTGAAATCATCTTGAGGGATCCTCCATTCGAAGATGCTCCTCCCTGTACAAATAAAGCGCGGGTATCTCGTCTGAATGGGGTAATGCCTCATCATTGGGGAGCTTCGAATCATAACCACCGCTGGAGGATTTGTAGTGGTACTTTTGAGGCGAAGCATCCAACGTCAGCTCCCCCTAGGCGCATCCGGATAGTTATGTAAAGTCTGATCGTTGGAGGCAAAGAAGGGCCAAGGGTGATTAGTGAATCGGATGAGCAAAAATTTGCCGCCCAGACAGGGGCTCGAACCCTGGACCGTTAGGTTAAAAGCCTAACGCTCTACCGACTGAGCTATCTGGGCGATTGAAAAACGTGGTCCGACGGGGGTATGCAATCGATGACATATTCCGATCGTACCTCACGGAGATGAAATCGCGACACAGGTATCCAGGAGCCCGCGTGCCTCCTCGTACACAGACTGATCAATCATGATCAGTGAGTGGATGAAGATACGTCCGGAACTCTATGGAAATGAAGCTAGGAGGGGGTATCCGTCTCGATTGCATTGGAGGAACTCGACGAAGGATGTTTCGCTCCACTCAGAGTCTGAGAGCTCAGCTCCGTGATCTGAATGGGGTTCGCCGAATTTCTCTGCCGACATCGTGCGCGGCCGCCGTGTCGGCGCTTCCCTCGCGCGAAGCTCCCTGGCTGCAGCAGCAGCAGCACCACCACAATAAAGGGCTTCTTGTCCCAAACACTACTGAAGTTCGTCTGCTCTGGGAAAGTGAAGACAGACCTCTCTGCCAGAGTCTCGAAAACTCAAGGATATCATCGAGCAGCCGCGGGTATGCTTGTTGGGTGCCTATTGGTCTAGGAAATCAATGGCTCTCGATATGATCTATTCCTTGCGGAGGAAGAGCGATCCGGGTTCGGAGCTATGAGACACTCCGAGAAATCCCTCCGTGGTAAACATCGGTTTCCGTGGTGTAGTGGTTATCACGTGCGCCTCACACGCGCAAGGTCCCCGGTTCGATCCCGGGCGGAAACAGATATACTTTTAAACTTTTCCTTCGCTCCCATTCGTTTCGGTCTACCTGGTTGTTCACCACCGCATTTTTGGACCTCGTCCGAACTTTGGAATCGACGGTGCAGAGCTGCGATCATATCCGTGCTCCTCGGAATTATCGAGCTTCTGATTGCTACCTCAGTGACTCGAGATAATATTTTATTTCTCCTTCAACGATTGTGTCACAGTCCCCTGGAATTCAGTAGATTATAATTATTGGCACAGGAGGATAGACTCGGCTTCGTTGGACGGAATTACCGATCCGCGGAACGGAGCAATTTAACAAGGTATTATCGACCGTGAACATTCCCGACTTCATCGACCGTACGACCAGTCCCAGAGCTCACTCCCAAGGAAAGTCTTTGTCGAATGACCATCGTCGCAATTCGTCGCCCTTAATCTCGGCCTTTGAGACATTCGGGGTATCCTCCGCAGAAAACTGTCATTGGCTGGATCGGCTCCTTGTTAATATTCGACGCTCTCACTCAGTGGGTAGAATCCGAAACAGAGGCTTTCAGGCTGACCTTGCACGCCTACACTGTGTTTCGGAGAAATGGCGGATCACTCCTTCAAACCGCGAATTCGGTCTCTGAGGTGGACCGTTTCTCTGACTAGCTTCTGCGGCGGCCGCTCGGTGAAGTGTCGGTGACTTTGAGATTCGATCTGGCTCGTATTCTTCGCCTGTTTGAGGGGGCGTTTTCAGCTTCGCTCCTTGATGCCGTCTCTGCCATTTTGAGTGGCCACTTGATGAGGTGCATTGTGGCCTGCTCATCATCATGCCCTCCGAGCGACTTCAGAGGGAGAACGCCTTCTGGCGTCGGACCTTCATCTGAGCTCGTTGTCCATCGAGCCGCGATTCCATCGCCGACAACAACAGCCGCGACCAGCTGTAAAAGCAGCGGGTGACATCCAAGAAGTCCCGATGTCATTATCACTCCGACGGTCGCCTCTAATAGGCGCTCTAATCGGAACATCACGCGGTCTCAGTCCAACTCGATTCAGACCTTGCGCTGAATCGGTCAAGTTCTGATCTGATGCGTGTAAACCGAATCGAACCGGATCTTTTTTGCGGAAGAAATCCCTCCAGATCCTGGAGCCATTCAAACTTGCAAGTCGGCACGCTCTGCTGTTCGCGTCTTCCAGCTGCCTTTCTAGAATCCTTCACCAGAAGCAACCCTCCCAGCAGGGCCTCCGACCATGTTCCCTCGAATCGAGCCTGACGGAGCTGGACAACCGAAATGCGGAATGGACGATGGTTCGCTAACTCAGAAATTCTTCCGCCTGTGCACGATAATGAAATCGGATCCCTCAATGGATATATCGCGAGGTCACTCCGGGATGCAATCGAGTCCTAACTTCGCCTTCGGAGCCCTCCAGAAATCTAGCCGACAAGAGCTGGAGAACTCGTACGAGTCCCGTATTGAATCTCCTCCTCTTGCCGGCAAAATCGAACGAGTACTTTAGGTCAGGATTCAGGATGGCAAGATTCCCGAGGCTTCAGGAGTCGACGTTCTGCGGGCTCCTCCTATGAGGGAAATTCTGTCACGATAAGCGCCATCCTGCAGAAAATATCACTACGAGTTCAATTTCAGGTGCGACTATCACGTCCTCAGTGTTCCTCAGCGGCCCCGCGATTGAGGAACCGTCCCTACCAATCTGTCCTTACATCTAGAAGCCCCCGTGGATGATCCCAGCCCCTCATGGACTTTACGGACGATGAGATCTGGCTTGGATCAAACCTCAACACCAAAGCGACTTGCAGCCGCGCACAGCAGTTGCGAGAGTCGAGGGCGGTTTTCTCACTTTCAGCCTGACGCATGATATTTGTCGGTAGATCCGTTTGGAGGACTCGGCAGAATCATCATCGACGGAAGCATCGCGATTCCAAAGGCGGCGATCGACGAGGTTCGTCCCTCACGAAAACACTGCTTGGCGGCCCCGACCACAAACCTCGAAAATCCGGGTACCGAATGCAGATCGTCTAAAGTAGGTAGACTTAATCGAATTCGGTGTTTACAATCGAGTCCGCAGTCTCTTCCGATATTTTGAAAATATCGCGGTCGCTTCTATCGTCACAGAATCTGGTCTCCGTCGAAGTCGGAGGGAATCCCGAGGGTGTTGTACAAGCTCAGAAGGCGTTGTGCTGATTTGGGGATTCAGAGTATGTCTTGCAAGCATTCCGTGTCGTTAGCGGTTTCTCTCAAAAGTCGGCATGTCTCAAACGATCACTCCCATCTCGAACAGAAGTGTGGTGATTGCATCTTGTCTCTTCGGTGACTTCGTCGGTCTCTAGAGAGTGAGCAAGCCTATTCGATTTCTGTCGGCCTGCTGCTCTAGAACACAACAATGTCTCGGTAACGCCTCCCGAGTTAACAAGAGCGCTACTGACGAACCTGACGGAAGCCGCTTTGATCTCTAGCGACGGAGCTCCCAGCAGCGCGACGAAAAACGTTTCGGACACCGTTTGAACGCCCTCCGTGAGACATCATTTCAACTCGGATTACGGGCGTTACACATGAGCTCCGCTAGACGTATAACGTTCCTGAACTCCGGCAGCCGTGTTCGCTCCGAAATGTCCTGTGAGTTCGTCGACGGTCGGGAGTGACTCGGAGGCTCGCGGCATGAAGTGATCAGACTCGGCTGTCGGCACCTCGGTAACAGAATACCCCCCTTAATGAAGCAGCTTCTCGAGCTCGTTCCGAGTCACACACACACACCGTCGCACTCGAAGTTCCCCATGTTTGTTTCATGATTCGAGGCACTTCACGCCGACATCAGGTCTCGGTAATTCAAACCGGTCCCGACCATCGAATGGTATGTTCTCGGGACTGGAGTTTCATCCGAGGAAAATTCAGGCGATCGAGAGGGAAAACGGGCGGCGACAGTGATGTTGCCGTAGGCTTCGCTTGCACTGCGGGACGAGCTCGTCAGAGAGACAGAGGATATTTTGAACTAATCATCGAGGGTTCCCGATCGCGGATCCTCTAACAATAAGAAGTATTCTCAACAGAAATAGTGAATAAGCTTTGGATCTATTCGAGGAATAGAGTGGAGTGTTGACCTAGATACTCCGCTCATTTCGTCTTGAAACAGATTCCGTTCTGCGATTGCGGGGCGAAATCAAGAAGACTCCTCGATGCGCTTCTTCCAATCCTTCCAGGCTTTCTTCTTCCGGAACATGATGTCATCCCTCCCCTTCCTACTGATGACAGCGCCATCGGATCTCAGAATGACCAGATCTGGGATTCCCTCACAGATGAAGAAATCTTCCAGTTTTTCTACCATTGGATCTCTCCACGGCAGCGCATAGAATTGAGGATACGAGGCAAGGAGCTCCTGAGAGAGGCAAGGAGAATATCGAGTTCAAGTTCAGCTTGCGGCACTAAAAGGTAGACGGATAAATGACCGACCATCGTATTCCCGGACCTTGAACTCTTGTTCGGTTCGATCCAAGCTGGCCATGACGATGATCAGACAACGATCATCCACTGACTTGACGAACTCGACGAGAAATGGCATGAAAGCTCGCGAATTGCGACACCACGAAGCCGTGAAAAGAAGGCCGATACATGTTTGCGGTGCACGGCCGAGCAAATCCAAAAACTCAACTCCGGAGGGAAGGTCGTTTTTGACGAGACGAAGGGTTTTCAGCAGTTCCAACGCGTTTGCATGGCCATCGACGCTCATTCCGAGTTTCGGACGACCGTCTTAGATCCTGTGGGCGAACCTGTCCAGAAAGGTGCCACTACATCACAGACTGACAATGTTCTCTCTTGCCGCTTCGTTTCCGTTTGAGAGTGACCATCTATCCACGTTCTGATATAGTAGGAGAGGTATTCGGGAACAGACCCGCCGTGGAAGCCGAGAGTTCACCGATGCCGACATTATACCGCGTGACCGGTATTCGCCGGTGTGATGACTGACTGTGAAACCACTCGCTAATACCAATCACTGATCATTATCATTGATCATGTATCTGTTTTTTTCCTCCAATTCTAGAACTTCCAAGCCCCACGAGCTGGGCTCCC